GCCAAGCTCCCCTCAGGCAATTTTTTTTTTTTTCTTCAGTGTTGAATGCGCTGTCAAACTCAACCCCCCCCGACCCCCCTCTGTCTCTCTCGCATGCTAATGGCGACCGAAATTACCCCGCCCAGTCTGTGCAAAACATGGCCGTAGCCCTCAGGTAAATCACAGCGGGACCCAGCCAACTGGAGCTTTTTGTTCCATTTGCTCTCGTGGCTGTTGGCAAACTTGCCGCGGCCGCTGTTGCGACTGCACAATGAACTGAAAGCTTTGGCGAACGGCGAGGCTCCGTAGCACAATGAGCCGTCGTCGGTCCAGAAACGCTTGTTCAAAATAGCGCCGCCCTGTCCTTTTGCTATCGCAAATTCACTTGTGAACACAATAGTGGCTATTTGCTTGTGCGTCAGGCGTGTACACGACAATGAATTTGTGAGTGGCAGCTGTAAAACGAAGTTCGGACTCCGACATTAAATGTCAGCGTTGTTCTTCTAAGAAAAGGAAGCCATTACTACATTAAACTGGTGTACAGCAATTTTTTCTCTACTTGCAAGGAAAAGGGACTAAGCCGAGGCGCAAATAGGGAAAAATGCAATAATTAAGGGCACTTGATTGTTTCCAGAAGAAAATGGTTTTGATGTGCTTGCCTTCAAAATGATGCGAGCTATTACTTTGGGGTTCGATAAGTCCAAAAGGTTGTATGTTGCAAGAGAAAGTGGATTGGAGTGTTTGTTGAAAGGATGCGAGTTGAGTCACATTTAAAAGGCGCATTTCGGTCGTAAAAGTATGTCTTCGTCCCTCGTCTGTCGTCTCTCCCAACTTCGCACTTGGCTCACGTCTTTGGCTGTTCAATAACATGAGAACAGATTCGTCATTCATCTCCGACTGCTGCTAATTGAGACGGGAGGAACAGGGCGTCAACTGTTCGTCTTCTCCGCTAAACGACGATTAGACGCCAGGGACCATATGGGCCATCTTTGACGTTCATCGCCGGCCAGTTGTTCGGTTCCTGCCGAACTGCCGAGCATCAGCGCGGTGCGACTTCGCTTCGGAGACTCGCAGCAACTGGCGACTGATTTCCTGTCCCGCTTTTGGCACTCAGCAAATATTTCTGACAAAGACATATGGCACGGAGAAGTGCGCGGCAGCAGGCTGCCAATCCTCCAGCCTGGACTGTTTTCGCTTGATTGTTTCGAGCAATGTGCGCATTTAGTGGAGTTCCAGCAGGGGGGCTGCTTCAGGCGCACACACGACACGATGAAGTGGCGGTGCCTCGTCGTCTCAGCATTTCAAGTGGCGAGAAGGAAAAACACATCTGTGACAAAACGCTTCCTAATCTATTCTGTCATTTCCCTAACCCGTCTTTGAGAATGTGTCTTTCACCCCTTCACCCCGTTGCAATTCGGGGCGGGGGGGTCGCTGACATCAGAGTTTGCTTGCGGTGGAGCTCCTGTCTTGAGCTCTGGCGGCCAGGCTGATAGGCAGCCCTGTGGACTGGCAGGCTTTTTAAATTGCACCCGGGTTGATGGGTGGCTGTCAGGAGGGGCGATTTACAGAGAATATCCAAAATTTGCTTGTGCGTCAGGCGTGTACACGACAATGAATTTGTGAGTGGCAGCTGTAAAACGAAGTTCGGACTCCGACATTAAATGTCAGCGTTGTTCTTCTAAGAAAAGGAAGCCATTACTACATTAAACTGGTGTACAGCAATTTTTTCTCTACTTGCAAGGAAAAGGGACTAAGCCGAGGCGCAAATAGGGAAAAATGCAATAATTAAGGGCACTTGATTGTTTCCAGAAGAAAATGGTTTTGATGTGCTTGCCTTCAAAATGATGCGAGCTATTACTTTGGGGTTCGATAAGTCCAAAAGGTTGTATGTTGCAAGAGAAAGTGGATTGGAGTGTTTGTTGAAAGGATGCGAGTTGAGTCACATTTAAAAGGCGCATTTCGGTCGTAAAAGTATGTCTTCGTCCCTCGTCTGTCGTCTCTCCCAACTTCGCACTTGGCTCACGTCTTTGGCTGTTCAATAACATGAGAACAGATTCGTCATTCATCTCCGACTGCTGCTAATTGAGACGGGAGGAACAGGGCGTCAACTGTTCGTCTTCTCCGCTAAACGACGATTAGACGCCAGGGACCATATGGGCCATCTTTGACGTTCATCGCCGGCCAGTTGTTCGGTTCCTGCCGAACTGCCGAGCATCAGCGCGGTGCGACTTCGCTTCGGAGACTCGCAGCAACTGGCGACTGATTTCCTGTCCCGCTTTTGGCACTCAGCAAATATTTCTGACAAAGACATATGGCACGGAGAAGTGCGCGGCAGCAGGCTGCCAATCCTCCAGCCTGGACTGTTTTCGCTTGATTGTTTCGAGCAATGTGCGCATTTAGTGGAGTTCCAGCAGGGGGGCTGCTTCAGGCGCACACACGACACGATGAAGTGGCGGTGCCTCGTCGTCTCAGCATTTCAAGTGGCGAGAAGGAAAAACACATCTGTGACAAAACGCTTCCTAATCTATTCTGTCATTTCCCTAACCCGTCTTTGAGAATGTGTCTTTCACCCCTTCACCCCGTTGCAATTCGGGGCGGGGGGGTCGCTGACATCAGAGTTTGCTTGCGGTGGAGCTCCTGTCTTGAGCTCTGGCGGCCAGGCTGATAGGCAGCCCTGTGGACTGGCAGGCTTTTTAAATTGCACCCGGGTTGATGGGTGGCTGTCAGGAGGGGCGATTTACAGAGAATATCCAAAGGGGGGGGGGGCGGAAAAAAAAAATACCAGGGAAGTGACGGTGACCCTGAAAAGACTCAGGCTACTTAGATTGTATCACAATGAGAATTTGAAAGAAGGCAGCACATCATCAGTTTGGATTTTCCATCATTCCTCTCATTTCAATGAACCGCTGCAGATCCTGGAGCGACCGTTGAACTGTGCTATCAATTTTAACCTGGGGGGCACAATCCCTACAGGATCGTCTCTTTGGCATCTCAACACTGTACCCGATTCCTTCCCGCGACCGAACTTTGCCTCACTCGTGTTCTCCCGTGTCGCAGACGGTATTGTCACAATGTTGGTTCTCTGCCTTTTTCACATTTGCTACTTTTGGGGATCTTTATTTTGCCGTCAATCTAAAAGGTATCCAACGGTATCTTCTCCGATAAAAGGCGAGCGTTCCGCATCCATGAATGTCCAACCAACTTGAACAAAACATCTTGATTGAGAGTCGCCCCCTTGTTTATGTCCCTCGAGCGTCTCGCCATGTGAACAAACTGCAAAATGTGTTTGTCGGTTTCTTCATTCGGATCCGTGCAAGGATTCAATGGGTTCTTTCCCTTGTCTTACCGTTCTGCAGAGTTTTGTGGAAATTGCTGAATTGGCTTTGCGTAATCCTACTAATCTCCACACGTGACGTAATGTACGTAGCAGAGTGACTTCATTCAAGGCCAGTTATGAGCTATAAATCTATGTAGGGCAGTAGAACTGCAAGCAGGTGGCTTCCTTATGACCTGCTGATAAGTGGCGTGTTGCCGTTAATCATTTGTGCCGTTGCTTGACCGTCCGGGTGACAGTTGTTGCGGATCAGAGCAATAGGGCCTAACAATTAACTTCTGGCCCCCTTTTCGCAACCCGCGGTGAAAAATCTGATGGGCGAATGTCACGTCTGCGCAGATAAGTCCACTCGTAGACCCCGTTCCATTTGGCGGTAATTACAACAGGATGCTTTTGGAATTGTAAAAGCTTTGTCACGTCCGAGCGAATGGCGTGCGAGCGTTCATCGCGCGCGTTTGATAAGACGTGGCGCCCGTAAGCCTTTGACAAGACTTACCAGTGATTATGCGAAATGGCAGCGACACTGTACAACAGTCGTCTCAGCAATTCCGCGTTACGGCTTGCATGTGAACTAGGAATAAATCCCCCCACCTTCGGCTCTTTGACGGCAGCTATTCACGTGCTTAGCCCCCTCGCACCGCACCGCCTGCCAGAATCAATTGCGCCGGCGACCATTGCCAAGCATGAATTTTTATCTCCCAGCTGGAAAACAAGGGGAGCGTTGCGGGGAGAGAGATGCCGGCCATCAATCACATGATTAATTCTCTCTCGATCCTTTTGAAAGTGAACCTGGCATTCGTCTATAGACCTTGAATGGCAATGCGCTAACCTCCCCGACACTCAATCTTTAACCTTTTCAGCGGCACCCCAGAGAAGATACTCAGGACCTACTTGGAGTTATTAGCACACGTTTAGCGAATGTTTCAGCGCCTGACCCTGTCAAGAGTAATCAGTGTATAATAAATGTTTGCCCTTTACACTGGATAACTGTGATTACGATTTGCGCAATGGCCAAACATGCTGTTATTATCAATGTTCATGGCCTTTTTTGTTTCTTCTTTTTTTTGTCATCCCGCAGCTCTTCAAATCCTGGCAAGTCTGCTTGAGTGCTGAAAGGTAAAGATTGATTTATTGATTTGTGTGCTGGCCCAGTTGAAAGCTGCACCTGTTTTAGGAGTTGCACAACACTCGATTAAGAGTGACCCGGCCAAAGGCAGCCGTGCGGATGTCGTGAAAAGACGTGCAAATGTCCATGTACTAAATTTGTTTGCCTTAGGGCAGCGGTCCCCAACCTTTTTTGCCCCACCAACCGGTTTATTGACAGACAATATTATTTTCAGAGACCGGCCTTTAAGGTGTGACGGATAAATGCTCATTTTGCTAGCTCCTGGGTTTCATTTTAGCCGTAACCTATCACGTGACCGAGAAGGGCCGCCTTCACCTGCGTCAAGAGTGACTTACTGTCGACAAATATAACAGAGAAGCCGGTAATTTTTCAAAGTAAAACATCTTTCAGATTCCGAAAAATAAATAAAATGGAAGGAATGTAAGTTATTTATTCTCTCTGTGCGGCCCGGTAGCAAATGACCCAGGGACCGGTACCGGTCCACGGCCCAGGGGTTGGGGACCTCTGCCCTAGAGCTTAAAAAACTAACACCGGATACGGGTACTAGAAAATTGCCGCGATACCTCACCATCAAAACTAAAATTGATGAGCATGTTCGGTGTTCTCTCTTTAAGCTGTTTATTCGACTCTGCAGTAAAACGTGAGCATTATTTGTATGTGGAAAGGATAAAAGTAAAATGAGCATGCTCTGGTAGTTTGTAGCTTCCGTGATTCAGCCTAAGGGGCGCTGCGCAATAACAGTATGAGAAACGCGGGAGGATAGCAGCTGAGCCGCAATATTAGACAAAAGTCTAATCCACAAGAGAGTCCGGCAATCTTCTATTATTTTTACGACTGAGAATCCGACTCCATTCTCACACAACAAAATCATCACAACCCTATTCTTGTTCGGGGGTATATATGGTAAGACAGAAGGAATATTTACTTGTGTTGAGAAAGGCACAAACTTTTGGGATGGCTGGGAGTGTTTTTGACAGTTTGCTAGATGAACCATCAAATCATTGGAGCGACGTTTTCCGCCCGGCAACACAAAAACAAAAAGGCAGTGAATGCAAAGCGACTTCTATTTCTCACCCCGTCTGCTTGCCTCTGGTCCACTGCAATTCAATCCACATTTGCACACTGTCTGGGGGATTGCAATGATAGGCTACCACGAGCGACTCATATTCTGGATTTCTTGTTTGGGTTTTTGCCACAAATGTTCATTGAAATGACTGTGAGGAGAAGGGGAAAAAAAGCATTATGGTTTACATGGTGGGTTTGAACAGTTTGTAGCAGTGGGGGCATAATTAGTGCACAGCCTTGGACGTGTCCTAGTGTATTAGTCACTCGTGCTTTAATTATGACTTTTTTTTTTTTTTAAGTCTCACTTCTGCTCTCTTCATACCGTTGTTTGGTCACATGTTTGCGTTGACTCTCAATGAGGTTTTTTCGCCTCAAATGGTGTCGTTACCAAACAGGTTGATGAGTTGTTATTGTTGTTGCAGAGGGAGTCGTTGAAAGTTGTAATAATCAAATAAGATTTCGGTTTTATCATTGACAGTCGCCATGTCTGGAGCCTGGCGCGATATGCTGTGATTCATCGAAGAGTCGTACTGTCTTTGAATGCATTCAATGACCAAAATGAACGACATAACTTGACCTGGGCACTGACTGTTTGGATCAGAGAATACAATATTCTGCGGGTCGTGGAGAATAAGTCCCTCGCACTCTTGGGTTTTGACGAGACCAAATGGCAGGCATTGAGCGGGGTAATTTTTTTTTTTTTTTCCTCACCACTGGTCTTGGTTGTCATCAAATATTGCTATGTGACTGTTAGGAAGACATTGTTGTACTAACCTGAGGCATAGGGTGGATGAAAGTGTCTTTGAGGTCCGGTCGCTTACGTGCAGAGAAAATAGTGGCCTTTGCTGCGCTTTCCTCCATTTCCACTCGCCACTCTCCGCTATCTCTTGTCAACCGGTTCTCCCGTCTGCTCTGTGGCTGACAATCTTTGCTGCACAGCCCACTGGTTTTTCAAAGCGACACGCCAACCCCCCCCACCTCCACAGACGCCCGCGCTCACCTGTATGCTCATTTGAGCCCGGGAATGGCTAATGGTCGCTACTGTCTGCTCACGTCAAGATGACTGCACGCGCTCGGCACGATGGGGCTCAGGTGTGCACCCAGAGCTGTTCTTCGGGGGAACTTCAGCCACACCACATGGCACCTCCGCAGCACGGCTCCCGCGCTTCTGTACTGGCGTCACGCAAAGTTAGCGTGAGGGAAACAAGAGAAAACAGCTTTGGGAATGAACCCTGAACTTTTTTTTTTTTCTTTTCCAGGGATGGTGGGGGTCGGCCTATCACTGTAAAGACTGGGTCCAAATTTCATTTAATTTAATTGATATTCCTGTTTTTATGAAATTAATATCATTATTACAGTTATTACAAAAACCACTATGAGAGAGAACATGAACTAAAGAGGGCAAAAAAACGACGCGGACGCAGTTAAGTTAAATGACCATCATTTTTATTCTTGACTCTCTTCTTTGTTTTTTACATTATGCACAACTCTCTTTTATTGTGCAATAATCTTATTGTAACACGTATTTGTTACATATTTTGATGCATTTTTATGCTTCCAAAAGCTCGCCGAGCTTAAGAGAGGAGCATTTAAAATGATTGTTGCATTTTTTTTTTTTTTTCCAAATGACATGTGCAGTCATTGTTCAGCCTCCGTTAACATGTAGAAGCTGTGCAGTGACAATGAAATCAAGTTGTCTCAAATGGAGGCTGCCGTAGTGCTCATGCTTACGGCCGCTTTCTGCTTGATTATACTTCTCCTGTTGTGAAGCAGGCCGCTTGTCCGCGACATTGATTTTATTTACGAGCCGTCAAGATTTTGTTTGGTGCGAATGTGAGCCAATTGTTTCAAAGTGCTTCAGTGTGTCTCAGA